TAAATAGAAAGAGAATTACTGGGGAAATTAGCCAGAGTTCTGGGGGGAAATTTAGTCCCTTGACGCCAGAAGGGTTGAGGGCTTTAATTAGAGAATTAGTTAAAATTTTTTATTAAATTTTATTGTCTTTTATTTATTTCTTTGGTGAGATCTTTTTATTTGTGTGTAGTAAATCACACCAGCTTTCATTGTTATACTTCATTTAAGATAAAAAAATTAGCAGGAAATTTATACTGTTTTTCTTACAGATAAAAGAAGCCTAATCTTAAAAAAAAAAAAAAATACCGTTGTAAACCAGTAACTCCGGAAATAATAAGTCACTATGCCTTCAATTTGTGTTCTAGACGTATTTCTCTTATTAAATCAAACAAAGAAACATGTTTCTGCTTGTTCTCTTGTAAATGTAATGTGGCCGTATTAAGTTATAGTTTCTTTTTTAAGGAATTTTTAAAAAACTGGCTACTCTGAATATATTATTTAGCATGGTAACCAAGTGTAACAGAAAATAATACTTTTTTGAGGGGGATGTTAGTCATTTTATCATCCAGTCACTCCCTTTTATTCCTCTGAATGAGTCCGGTGTTGATTTGTTGGTGCGGATGTACACACAGATGTTTTTGTGGTTGTGAAACCATAGATACATGTATTTATGTACTGGGTAGCATTAGTTTCCCGTCTTGAATATTTCTACTATTTAGTTAGTGAGCACAATGTAATCACATGCTAACTTATCAGTTATGAATACATTGAGTGACAACAAAAAACTAACAGTGGCTGAAACACACTGGGATTTATTTTTCTCCCATAAAAATAAGCCCAGAGCCTGGTGAGTCAGAGTTGGTCCCATGACTCAAGGATGTCATCAGACACTCAGGTTCCATCCTCTTGTTCTGCTCGCCGCATGGCTTTCCTCCTTACAACCGTAAGTGATCACTGGATGGGCCTCACATTCTCTTTCCAGGCAGACAGAAGAGAGAAATGCCTCTGTCAGGAAAGCAGAAGCATTCCCAGAAATCCACTTTGGGGTTACATTGTACAAAAGAGACTGGGAAGTCATTTTTTTCAGTGGAGCACATTGCCATTCTCTGCACAGGGTTTAGCTGGGGAGCCAGCAGGGGAAAAGAGACAATGAGTCGTAGGCATCTAGCCACATCTCCTATGGACTCTTGTTTTCATTCAGGTTATTTTCCTCCTTGTAAGAATAGCACCCAGTTATTCAAAAATGAAACCACCATGTGCTCCTCTCCTTAAGGGCATCAATTCTTCACATACTTGGCAATATCTTCAAAGCTCTGTATCTTGAGCTGTGGCCCTGCAGGATGGTTCTACCTGGACATTTGCTGGTTAGTTCAAATACACTTATGTACAAAGCTAAATATCTTTATCTTCATTTTTTTTTTTTTTTTTGTCCAGTCAGGGTTGTCAGCATTTTCCCATACTAGAAACTTAGAATAATCCTAACTTCTTAAATTCCTCTTATTCCCTAACCCAACCTGCCATCAGCTGTAGTTTCCTGCATTGAAATATCTTGGAGGTGACACCCCCTCTCCCCACTGTCACTGCTGAAGTTCACACACTTGCTGCCTCATTTGTGCATTATTCACAGCGTTTACTAGCTGATTTCTCCAATCCTGTTCTTCCTCTTTTATCCATTTTGCTGGTCATTAAGAGTCCAATTTTATTAAAACTTAGTTTTCTTAAATATTTCTCCCCTATGTAAGAGTTTCTAAACCAAATTCAGAGTGCTTTCCTCTTTAAGTTTTCTTTCATAGCAGATACTTTTCTTAGTCTGTCTTTTTTTTTTTTTTTTTAAGATTTTATTTATTTATTTGACAGAGAGAGATAGTGAGAGAGCAAACACAAGCAGGGGAAGTGGGAGAGGGAGAAGCAGGCTTCCTACCAAGCAGGGAATCCGATGCGGGGCTCAATCCTAGGACGCTGGGATCATGACCTGAGCTGAAGGCAGATGCTTAATGACTGAGCCTCCTAGACACCCCTCTCATTCTGTCTTTTTTCCCTTTATTTCTCAATCTAAATTAACTTTCTTGTTGAAGAATGCACTTAGTGCACTGTTTTCCTGCTTACCTCCCCTAACAAATGTAAGTGGCCATAGACGGTTTCCTCCTCTTCTCTGGTTGTGTCCTCCAGCGCCCACCTCCAGCCTGTTTTGATCTCATCATTCCAAGTTCTACCTTTCAAGGCCTAGCTTCTAAAATCCTTTCTTTTTGAACTTTCTTGGCAATTCCTGCGTATGTGTTTTTGTAGTTGTTCTAAACTATATTTTGAAAAAGCTGTGTGGTATGGTGGGATTTCTTTGGAGTCAGAGAAGTATAGCTTTAGATCTCGACTTAGGTACTTACCAACTTTTTTGCCTTAAGCAAATTGACCCTTCTAAGGTAGTTTCTTTATCTATAAAATTTAAGTAATTGCAAGTACACACGTACATCTTACCATTTTATGAGTATAAAATGAGGTAATGTTTAGTAATGTATAGTTGCACTTAGTATTAGGGATTGTTGCTTGAAAACAAAACCCCAGGATAGTAGTGTCTTAATCAAAGAAAGAAAGTTGAAGTTTATTTTTCTCTCATATAAAAGAAGTCTCCAGGGGTGCCTGGTTGGCTCAGTGGGTTAAAGCCTCTGCCTTTGGCTCAGGTCATGATCCCAGGGTCCTGGGATCTAGCTGTGCATTGGGCTGTCTGCTTAGCAAGGAGCCTGCTTCCCTTCCTCTCTCACTGCCTGCCTCTCTGCCTACTTGTGATCTCTGTCAAATAAATAAATAAATAAATAACCAACCAACCAACCAACCAACCAACCAGGACTGATATGGTAGTTCATCTGGGACCCAGACTTTCTCTACCTTTGTTTTCTACCCTTCTAGAGCATGATTTCTATATCAAAATTGCACTTGCCACATGTTCCAAGGTGGCTGCTGGAGCTCCAGCCATCATAACTACATTTCAGATAGTGAAAAGAGGGAGAGCATGACAGGGCAAAAAGGGCATGCTTTCCAGCTTAGTCACCTTTCCTTAACCAGCCTTCTTGGAGGTCCTTCAGAGCTCATCTATGGTAGTCTCAATGGCTAGTACTTAGTCACCTGACCACCACTTGCTAAAAGGAGGCTGTAAATTTTAATCTCTTAATTATTGGTTACATTGTTGCACAAAATAAAATAAATGTTACTAAGAAACAAGAAAATAATTAATACTGAGTAGGTATAGGCAGCCTTAGCCATGGTTACTTGTGGTAACTTTGTGGTGCTTGACAAATACTGAGGCTTAACAAGTATCTTTATGCCTCTATTCTTTCTGTTCCACTTAGTGTCAATTTAGCACTTTATTCCTCTTTGCTTCATATGTATCTTATTTTTTTCAGTTACACTGAAAGTTTCTTGGGGGCATAAAGACTGTATATCATAATTCTTTGTTGTGTTTCACAACACCTAACAGAGTGCTTGCACTTGGAGCACATAGGAGAAACTTAATATGTATTTGTTAATTAATTGACTTTATTTTTCACTAGGACCACATAGTTCTTTTAGCCTCTCATTGACTCTCCCCACCCACCATGACTATTTTGTATTTTTTCTTCAACTACAGAGTAGCAGCTACCCAGGGAGGATACATTGCAGGCTTTCATTCCTTTGATAATTTCCTGTTTTGTTTGTTTGTTTGTTTTTTAAGATTCTATTTATTTATTTGACAGAGACCGTGAGAGAGGGAAACACAAGCGAGGGTGGGGAGTGGGAGAGAGAGCAGCAGGCTTCCTGCTGAGCAGGGAGCCTGATGCCGGGCTCAATCTCAGGACCCCGGGATCATGACCTGAGCTGACAGCAGACACTTAATGACTGAGCCACTGAGGCGCTCCAATTTCCTGTTTTCTAATGCCCAAAAAGTTACTCTGTGGAGTTGATATTCTAATATGTTATCTTTCTTTGGTTAATATATTTAAAATGTATTTGTTTTACACCTAGTGCTTGAAGATAAACACCTCAGATTAAATTGGAGGAAAAATGTGTATTTGTATGTAACATATATGAGTTACATATATATTTCTAGTATTCTTATTCATCATGAATATATAGAATAAGACTTTTCAAAATGCCACTGTTGGCAAGGCCTCAGGAAACGATTTTTCTGTGCATATTTAATTCACATTTATAAGGAAGCTCAGTGGTTTGAAAAAAAGCTTAGGTCACATTTCTTTGTCACAGTGATTTTGAGCTGCTAGTGATTTTTCTTTTTCTCCCCAACCATGGATGAGAGGAGAGCAAGAATTAACTGGAGAGAGGAGACTCTTTCCAAGAAGATAAAGAAATAGTATTACTGGAAATTTCTTTCCCATCTGCTTGAGTCAGACTTTATGGTAAAAATAAGATCTTATAGTATCAAAGTATCTTGGAATAGAAAAGTTTATAGAAGTTCTTTTTATTCTACTTTGGAACTCACTGAATGGAATATTTTAAACATGATTTATGCTTCCTTCAAATTTATTCTGTCACAGGTATTCATTACATTATTAGCATATGAACATATAAATAGAATACAATTTCATTCCCCATAACCAATATGCTAATATATTCATACACCCAAACATGCATATGTCTTATATAAACACATATATAAATGCTAAGAGATAAAAGCATGCTGCTACAAATTCTTCTCAGAACAAAGTTAGTTATAAATAAAACAAAAAGTTAAATATCCAGTTATGCACACTCAAAAAGAGTAGGTAGGTAGATCTACATGAATGGTTATTTGGTTTGATGTTTAGGTATATATTAAGTGGGTGGGAGAGAGGGGCCTGGTCAGTAAAGTAACTGCACAGTATTAATAAGAAGGAGAATACATATTAACTAAAAATTGTAATAGCTTTATGATAATTTTTAATGATAATTTTTAATGATACTTTTTGACTGGTATACAAATGACATAGAGTCATTTATTTATAAAAAGTTGATATTTCTTTCTAGTTTGACTTTATTTGGTTTTGTTCTCATAGATGTTTTCTCCCAGATGTCAGATTCCAATGGCTTAATGATATTTAGCAAGTTTGACCAGTTTCTGAAGGAAGTTCTGAAGCTCCCAACAGCTGTCTTTGAAGGGCCATCTTTTGGTTACACAGAGCACTCAGTCCGCACCTGTTTTCCACAGCAGGTAAGGACAGTTTTGTAAAATCTAGGACTAGAAGAGCACTCATTCATCCCTCCACCTTGTATCAGATTTCACCAGATTTGTCCTAGTCTAGGGACATAAAGTCTTGAGCAGGGGAGAAAAAAGACCTTTAAGTGGGAGGGGCATGAAAAAGAGGGCCTATAAAAAATTCTTCTGAGAATTCTGGTTTGGGGGAGAAGGGAGTCTTTCCTGAAAAATGATAACCTATGAAATATTTTAAGTTATTAAAATTTTAAAGAAAAGTGTTTAAGATGAAGTGTTTATATTATTGCTACTGGACATATATTACTCTCCTGAATGAGTTCTTTAAGCTGTGAAATACAGGAATTTTGGCATAAAACTCTATACAATACTGGACCGTTTTTTCCTGAGCACTGAAGACAAGGAATGCTACACAGCTCCCAGCTGCCAGCTCAGAATCCCTCAAGGGCACACTGTCGTTTTCATATGAAGGAAAGATAGATTGGGTTTCCTCTTTATTTGTGTGTCCTTGTGCAGTCCTGCCCTTGAGGTTGTATGTGTGAATTCCTGAGATCTTAACTGTGCCTCAGATGACTCCGAGCAGAGTGGATGTTGACTTTGGCTTCATCTATTCCAGTAGATAATGCGATAAAAGGAACTTCATGCTAAACTTAGACATTATGGAAAGTGGGGAATTAAGAAAAAGTCTGTTAAAACTAATAAGTAAAAGATTAATGGAAGTAGGATATTGACACAGTCTGAAAGTATCTCCCTATAAGATGTTCATTAATTATAAAAGGAAACATAGTAACCTTAGAAAGTTACTATGTTGTAATAGAGAAGCCTGTCAGATCCACATTAACCTAGCGATCAAAGTCCCTGTCACCAGTAAAGGAAACAGACTGATATCCCTGCCCCCCGATTGGATGCACTGAGAAGTACCCAATGTCATTGCTGTGGGCCAGAAAAACACAAGCTGAGTCTCATCTTCCTATTCTTGTTTTTCCCAAATTTTTTTATGTTTAATTTTATTTTTTACAGTTTTATTGAGATGTAATTGACATATAACTTTGTAAAAGTTTAAGGTATGCAATGTAATGATTTGATATTTGTATGTTTTACAAAACAGTTATCCACAATAAATTTAATTAACATCTGTCCTGAGTCTCAATTTGAGGAAACATCTGACAAACCCAAATGAAGGGATTTCTACAAAATAACTGACCTGCACACTTAAAAAATGTCAATGTCATGAAAGACAAAAAAAAAAAAAAAAAAAAAAAAAAAAAGGAACCATTCTATGTCACAGGAGTCTAAGGAGAGAAAAACTCAATGCAGTTTATGATCCAGAATTTTCTTTTGTCATAAAGGACATTATTGGGACATTTGAAAAAAATCTGAATGAATTTTTAGTATTTTGTCATTAAATGTTAATTTACTGATTTTGATATTTGTATTAAATTATGTAAGAGAATATCCTTGTTTTTAAAAAATGTGATCTGAGGTATTTAAGGGCAAAGGGACATCCCTTCTGCGGTGTTAACATTTGAGGAATCTGGGTAAACGGGAATTTTTTGGATAATCTTACCATCTTTCTGCAGGTCTAAATTTATTTAAAAATAAGAAGCTAACATATACAAAGAACAAATCTAAAGGTTTGAGAACTGAAAGCACATTGTAAACTAGATCCTCCTGACTGTGATACTTTGATTCACAAGAGCCAAAACCAAATACACACATACTTTTTTTTACATTTGAAGTTAAGGATTCTTATATATCTGAATTCAGACTTTCAAATAATATTTTATAGCTTGTTTAGAGATAACTCATTAGTTTTAGCACCAAAAGTGGTACTCATAATACTGGTGAGTTATTTTTGCCACATTCTGAGGAGATATTCTTTCCAAATTTGTATGTACTTGGGCTGATTGTTTTTGTGGAAATTTGTCACCATACGTTATTTTTTCCTCTGTGTAAATGACAGTATCAACTTTTAGCATATTAAAAATAGCTGTGTGCCTCAATTTATTCTAATATAGTTAGCACTCCCCCTCCCCCACACTGATATGCGTTAAAATTTTTTAAAATTATGTTTATTAACATATAATGTGTTATTTGCCCCAGGGGTACAGGTCTGCTAATCATCAGGCTGACACACTTCACAGCACTCACCGTAGCCCATACCCTCCCCAGTGTCCATGACCCAACCACCCTATCCCTGTCCCCTCACCTCCCAGCAACCCACAGTTTGTTTTGTGAGATTAAGAGTCTCTTATGCATTTTTAAATAATGGGAGGCTGTCCATACGTTCCCTGGTACAGGAGTGCATTGCAGGTATGAAAATGCCTGGAAGCAAGGTGAGTGAGGGTAGGTATGATAAAGAAACAGCAACCGTTTTTCATTTAGCATCATCTCACTGCTGCTGTGTTTGTAGTGCCCTGACGTCAAATGGTTGCCCCACAATACTCTGGGGTAATCTTGTACATGAGGTACATGTGGCTTTTCACACAAGATGCTTCCTGGAGGTTAGGCTAAACTTGATCAAGTTCCGGAATGCTACTACTGAGTGTCGGAATAGGGAAGGCGATTTATACAAAGACGTGTCCATGAGGAAGGAGCTCTGACTAGTGGGTGACAGTCATGTGGGGTGCCAACCCAAAGTCACCTTAGATCTATTTGCAATGTGGGGACTATGAGGAGACGTTAGTATTGGAGCAGAAGTTTGAAATGTCGAAGGATATACAAAAATTTCCAACTGTTAATCCTAAGAATGCTTTCTAGAATACTCCAGATTTCCTTATGCCTTTATTGTGAAGCCTTTGAACTCAAGAGCTAACTCTTGCTTCTTTTTTTTTTTTTAAAGATTTTATTTATTTATTTGACAGACAGAGATCACATGTAGGCAGAGAGGTAGACAGAGAGAGAGGGGGAAGCAGGCTCCCCGCTGAGCAGAGAGCCTGATGTGGGGCTCGATCCCAGGACCCGGAGATCATGACCTGAGTTGAAGGCAGGGGCTTAACCCACTGAGCCACCCAGGCACCCCTGACTCTTGCTTCTTATTTGCTTCAGATTCTTAGGAAAAAAACTCAGTCTTTTGTGTTTTTTTTCAAGATTTCATTTATTCATTTGAGAGAGAGAGAGCATGAATTGGGTTTTGGGGCAGAGGGAGAGGCACTGGGAGAGGGAGAAGGAGATTTCCCGCTGAGCGGGGAGCCTGATGAGGGGCTCAGTCCCAGGACCCGGAGATCATGACCTGAGCTGAAGGCAGACGCTTACCCTACTGAGCCACCCAGACGCCCCTCAGTCTGTTTTGTTACGTGCCAAATTTGGAAAAGTCAGAGAAGCTTATTTCAGTCTAGAGGAAATTTAAGTTTTCCTTGGTTTGGAGAGGTGACCAAAAAAAAAAAAAAAAAGAGCCTTAGAAGAAAAAGTACTTACTGCTAGAATGACCAAAAAAAATGAGACTTTGAACAAAGTTCCATGCAGCAAGAGTTAAATCCAACGATTTTTGGGTTTCTTTTTGAAATGGTCTTTTCCCATATGGTTTGTTTTACTATGTATGTACTTTTTTAATGCAGAGTAACCCTCACACCCTCCAACGGAGAGAGAACAGTGTCAGTGGGAGGTGGAAATTGCGCTGTTGGTTCACAGGCAGTTTCCTAGCGTTTTGATGTTCTGGGCTTAGCAAAGAAGTGATCGCAATTAAAGAGAATGTAGGACTCTTTTAAGAAAAAAGTGGAACTCTTGCAGGTGTACCTTTCTTTAGTGAAAAAAGTGGCTGGTGTGGAGGGTTCATGAGCTGCTTCCTTTTCTGCAGTGTTATGGGGTGAAACTGTGGTTTCAGAGCTAGAGAGGTGAAGACATCGTCTCCTGTCTCACACATCTGTGCTGCAAAAATTGACTGACAGAGTGAGCTATCCCCTAGATCCAGTATTTAGTTTAGTTTTTTTTTTTTTTTAAGATTTTATTTATTTGACACAGAGAGAGGAAGCCCAAGCAGGGGGAGCAGCAGGGAGGTGGAGAAGCAGGCTCCCTGCTGAGCAAGGAGCCCCATGTGGGGCTTAATGTGGGTCTTGTGATAAAACTAATCTGTCTTGAAAGTTGTATGCCCTTATCATGAGGAAGGAAAAACATATTTCAGGATTTAAGACTGATTTAAGATTTAAGGTATCATCTGATAGTGACTTTTGTTAATGCCTGTGAAGATTTAATGGTGCTGGTAGTAGTGTTGCTGCTGTTTTGTTAGTCCTCTGTTCACAAGGGTGCCTGTGTTCTTAGGTTTGTGCCAACCCTGTTTTTCTCATGTACCTTATTATTTTTAAATCCGCAGTTTTGCAGTATGTGCAATTTTCCATTAGTGTGTGCATTGTATTACAGGAGAAATACTCGAATTTTTTTTAATGACATGAAGAAAATTACTTATTTGTTTATTTTAATATGGCCTTAATTCTCCTTTAGAAAACAGTTTTGCAAACTAACCTAAAATAAAAACACAACAAAGTTAAAAGCACTTATAAGTTAATTCAGCAGAACACATCAACTAGAACTCTCATTCAAACCACTTTAGAAGAGGCTCTGGTGTTGGTTTCCTACAGACCTCAACAGATACCTACCCATGATCTGGCAATTCTACTCTTAAGTTTTTCCCACATGAAAAACAAAACAAAACAAAACTTATGTGACAAAAAGATTTACAAGGATGCTTTTATCAGCCTCACAAGCATCTGAGGTGTCCATAATAAACCACTGGAGTAAAGTTAATTCAAAATATGTTCAGGGGCGCCTGGGTGGCTTAGTCGTTAGGCATCTGCCTTCGGCTCAGTTCATAATCCCAGGGTCCTGGGATCGAACCCTGCATCAGGGTTCCTGCTCGGCAGGGAGCCTGCTTCTCTCCCTCCCACTCCCCCTGCTTGTGTTCTCTCTCTCACTGTGTCTCTCTCCCTGTCGAATAATTAAATAAAATGTTAAAAAAGAAAAAAATAATATGTCTGGAATTTGCTTCAAATTAATCCAGACTGAAG